TTCTCTCGGCTGCTTTCCCCACCAAATTATGATCAAAGTGACCAAAAGCAGTCACTGATACCACGAGAGCTTTCACTTTTGCCAGAAATCCAAACCCGGCCCCCTTGTGATGCAGAATTATTCTAACTCTTTGTTTTTTGCTTCACTTCCTTCCCATTCAATTTTGGCACCGTTACAGAATTGGATACAGACAAGCACAAAAACTTCCTGGAATTGTGTGAGTCCCTGAAATCACCATTCCCAGGATGTCCCTGTCACATAAGTTACCTGAGGGTGCCCTGAGGACAGGTTTGGGGTCCTTGTAAGGATCACAGAATGGGAATAACTCGTTTAACTGGTTGATTTTTCCAGTGTAACTGGTGTAAAATGTTTAATTCTCCAAAGCAGTTACACCATTTAAACCAATTGCAATAGTTAAATCCAGACCCCACACTCCCCCCTCGGGCACACCTGAGTCAGGCACATTCCAGCACTGGTGACTTGAGGGACCCAAAAAATTCCAGGAAGTTTAGGATTTGTTTACATCCAATTCTGTAACGGTGCCAAAATTCCTCAGGGAACGGGCAGGAATGGTTTTGGGAGGGTGTTGGGCTGAAACCGAAAGGAAGGGCTCATTTCTGGGAAGCCATGGAGTTTGCAGGAACTGAGAACTGAGGTTGGCAGTTCCTTTTCTCCCCTCACGTTTCCCTCTCTTTTCTCCCCTCACGTTTCCCACCATTTTTGTCCCCTCGTGTTTCCCCCCTCCGTTTTCTCCCCTCATGTTGGCCACCATTCTTTCCTTACATTTCCCACTTCTCCCCTCATGTTTCCCACTCTTTCCCCCTCACCTTCTTCTCTTTTCCCCTCACAATTCCTCTCTTTTTCCCCTCATTTTCCCTCTCACATTTCCTGCCCTTTTCTCCCCTCACGTTTCCCCCATTTTCTCCCTCACATTTTCCCACCCTTTTTGTCCCCTCACAGTTCCCGTCCTTTTTTCCCCTCAATTTTCCCCCTTTTCTCCCCTCACATTTCCCACTCTTCCCTTCACCTTCCTCTCTTTTTTCCCTTCACATTTCCTCTCCCTTTTCCCCTCATTTTTCCTCTCACATTTCCTGCTCTTTTCTCCCCTCACTTTTCCTCCATTTTCTCCCCTCACGTTTTCCCGCCCTTTATCTCCCCTCACGTTTTCCCGCCCTTTTTGTCCCCTCACGGTTCCCGTCCTTTTCCTCCCCTCACACTTTCCGCCATTTCCCCCTCACATTTCCTCTCCCTTTTCCTCTCATTTTCCCCTCACATTTCTCCACCTCACCCCACAACGAGCCTCGAAGATCCAACACATTTATTCTCCTCTCAGGGGGGTTTTGGAAAGGTGATTTTTGGGGGGTCTCAGCCATTGCTCAGGGAGGTTTTAGGGGTGATTTTTGGGGGGTCTCAGCCATGGCTCAGGGAGGTTTTAGGGGTTGATTTTTGGGGTTCCTCAGCCATTGCTCAGGGCACTCAAGGCACTCAGAGCTGTGGGGTGCAGGGGGTCTCGGGGGGTCCCGGGGGGCAGCAGCAGCAGCAGCATCAGATCAGGACGAAGGAGGCAGCACCCAGTGAGTGTGGGCAGCGCCGTGTAACACAGCATGGCACCTCGGGGTGGTCCTGGGGGGCACCCCAAAAATCATTTCACCTCCTCCCAGACTCCCCCAAAACCCTCTGAACCCCCAAATTTCTCCCCTGGACACCTCCCAGCCCCCCAAAA